GCCACTGTGGTGCGCAGATAAACCTACAAGTCGCCCAAGCACGATGCCCCGTGGGAATCGTTGGCGCGACTCACGCCGGATCGATTCTCCGTTAAATAACCGGCTGACGTCACCGCAAATGCCGCATGGCGCGACGTCACAGCGTAGTAGTGTGACGTCAGCGCGCACGGAGAGTGGCGGCACGGGGGGCTGGAGGATGGAGCCAGAGTTCTAGAAGCGTCGCTAGCGGCGACCAACTCCAGCCACCCGTGCCCCTCCCCTGGGTGCCCCTCCCCCCCATGCCACCGCTGCCCCTCCCCCCCCCGTGCCACCGCTGCCCCTCCCCCCCCGTGCCACCGCTGCCCCTCCCCCTCCGTGCCACCGCTGCCCCTCCCCCCCCGTGCCACCGCTGCCCCTCCCCCCCCGTGCCACCGCTGCCCCTCCCCCCCGTGCCACCGCTGCCCCTCCCCCCCCGTGCCACCGCGGCCCCTCCCCCCCCGTGCCACCGCTGCCCCTCCCCCCCCGTGCCACCGCTGCCCCTCCCCCCCCGTGCCACCGCTGCCCCTCCCCCCCCGTGCCACCGCTGCCCCTCCCCCCCCGTGCCACCGCTGCCCCTCCCCCCCCGTGCCACCGCTGCCCCTCCCCCCCCGTGCCACCGCTGCCCCTCCCCCCCCGTGCCACCGCTGCCCCTCCCCCCCCGTGCCACCGCTGCCCCTCCCCCCCCGTGCCACCGCTGCCCCTCCCCCCCCGTGCCACCGCTGCCCCTCCCCCCCCGTGCCACCGCTGCCCCTCCCCCCCCGTGCCACCGCTGCCCTCCCCCCCCGTGCCACCGCTGCCCCTCCCCCCCCGTGCCACCGCTGCCCCTCCCCCCCCGTGCCACCGCTGCCCCTCCCCCCCCGTGCCACCGCTGCCCCTCCCCCCCCGTGCCACCGCTGCCCCTCCCCCCGTGCCACCGCTGCCCCCCCCCGTGCCACCGCTGCCCCTCCCCCCGTGCCACCGCTGCCCCTCCCCCCCCCGTGCCACCGCTGCCCCTCCCCCCCCCGTGCCACCGCTGCCCCCCCCCCCCCGTGCCACCGCTGCCCCTCCCCCCCCCGTGCCACCGCTGCCCCTCCCCCCCCCGTGCCACCGCTGCCCCTCCCCCCGTGCCACCGCTGCCCCTCCCCCCCGTGCCACCGCTGCCCCTCCCCCCCGTGCCACCGCTGCCCCTCTCCCCGTGCCCAGCAGGTTCACCACAGCCGTCAAATGTCAACAACTCGACGCGTCAAAACAGCAGCAGCGTCAAGGTCACGCGGACGACGTCAACAACTGAAACAGCCGCGGTGCAGCCTGGGCCCCCCCCGGCCCCCCCGCAGCATCCCTGCCGACGAGTCGCGGATGACGAGGAACCGATGGAGGCTCCGCCAGCATGGGACTCGGCATGCTGCAGCCTCGCGGCGTAATGGGAGCTAAACCTCTCCCCGGATTAAGGAGGCTAACAGAAGAGTTATTATTTGCCGTGCCATCGTAGGGGGGGGGGGTGCTATATTGTTTTCAAATGTAGCAACTGCTCCCCGCAACACCGCCGCCACAAAGTCCCCTCCTCGTTCCTAATTACGTCACGGGGGCCTTCAACGCCCCCCCCCCCCCCGTGTGTGACGGTCAACGTACCGCATGAAATAGCCAGGGCGGCCTGCCGGATTCGAACGCAACTGTTTGTAACAATGGGAGAATGCGCTCGAGCCTGGCCACGTCACGGCCCCCTTCGTCTCCCGGCTCCTCCGCCCCGAGCCCGCGGGAGGAGGCATCGCGCCCCCCCCACCCGCCCGCCATTGTCCTCCTCTCTCAAGCAGCAGCAGGAGGCGTCAAGCCGGAGGGGGGGCAGCAGCAGCAGGAGGCGTCAAGCCGGAGGGGGGGCAGCAGCAGCAGGAGGCGTCCTCGTGAATAGTATTGACGGCGGCCTCGCTCGCTTCCTCGTCGCGCTGCGAGGAGCGAGCGAGCCGGGAGGGCCCCTCGAGGCGTCTTCCTCCCTCGCCACTCGAGACGCGGCCATTGTTCACCGACAGCCAAACCCCCTCGTGCCCACCACCACCAGGTGGTGGTGGTGGGCACCGCTCACGGCGAGACAACAACAACACCACCACCACGAGGAACAACACCAACACCACCACCACGAGGAGCAGCAACAACACCACCACCACGAGCAGCAACAATACCACCACCACGAGGCGGCCACTCGGCACGCCAGGAGGCCCATCTAGGCGATTTAAACCCTCCCCCCCTCATCTCTCACTTCGTGTGCCGAGGGGTGGCGACACCGCGGGGGGCTACTCGAGAGGCGTAGGAGCCCCACGAGAAGCGAGGAGGTGACGATGGGGGGGGGGGGGGCGCCTCGCAAGGCGGATCGTGGAGGCCGCTACCGCACGGGGAGGAGCGGTGGCGCAGTGCTCGTCGCCCTGCGCCATGAACCACCACGACCACGACCACCGTCAAGATGCCGAGTGACGTCCCAAACGGGTATGGGGACCCCTTCGTCACCAATCCGCACCGACGAGTCGGGTGACGTATGGCCAAGCCGCCTCGACTACGGACATCGCAGTCCATTGCCTTCACCCGCACGTGTATTGGCTAAGGGTAGTTTACTGCGAGTTACTTGAGAGAGCCGTGGTGTGCACGAGGTGTAGTGGAGCAGCAGGAAGAGGAGTTCTCACCTCCGATCTATGGTGAGTCCTGGCATCGTACGACTCCCGGATTTTTCTCTGGCGAAACAGTGGCTGTTCAGTATGCGCTCAACGGAGCTCTTAATCATCCGGCTCCCCGGCTTCCCCGAAGGCCGCTTTCGATTCGCTGTGTGAGTGGCGGTCCCGGCAGGAGAGAGGGAGGAGAGACGAGGAGGAGGCGGCGACGGAGACGCGTGACGACTTGCGGGGCGACTCGAATGGGACCAGCGGGGGCGCTGCGCCCCCTTATATAGGCGACGCCTGACGTCACGCAGCTCCATCGCGAATCGATTCCGTCGATTCCCCGCCGCACGTGAAATCGTGAGCGCCGGGCGAATCGATAATTCAGAAATTGAAAACACGACCGTCATCGGCCATGGTCACTCCACTGCTGGATGAAGGCCTCCCCACCCGGCCCCCCGCCGCCTCTCACGACCCTACGGTGCGATGAGCCACCCGGCACCTGCGCTGAGCTCATCGCTCCGTCTCCGCGAGGGCACCGACTCGCCCAGATGGGTAGCAGCCTCCTGCTGCTGCTGCTGCTGCTATTAGTGCATCACACACTGCCTGCACCAACACTGAACCCTCTCACACGAGCAGTTAGTCGCAGCGTGAGTGCACAGTGCTGCAGCATAGACTGCAGTGCCACACAATGGCCAGAGCACATAGGATGCGCTCCCCATCTCAGCATCAGACCTCGGGAGCTCGCTAGATAGTGCGTGCTGTAGGGATGGGTGACCTCGTGCATAACAGGTGTTATAGGCTGCGTTGTGGAGCAACAGAGGGCCCCAACAGCCACTGTCAGCACTGTACTGTTGCTATGGCAGACCAGGTGAAGTATGGTCACACAACAACCCACACGACCGAGGTCAGTGGACTATGAATAATTGTCGGAGTCTAATAACCACTGGGGACGAGCAAAGAGAATCGCGCCCAGAGGCGGATGCTGAACGAGGCTGGGGGTCTGGACCAGGCTGGGGGTCTGGACCAGGCTGGGGGTCTGGACCAGGCTGGGGGTCTGGACCAGGCTGTGGGTCTGGACCAGGCTGTGGGTCTGGACCAGGCTGCGGGTCTGGACCAGGCTGGGGGTCTGGACCAGGCTGTGGGTCTGAACAAGGCTGTGGGTCTGGACCAGGCTGCGGGTCTGGACCAGGCTGGGGGTCTGGACCAGGCTGGGGGTCTGGACCAGGCTGGGGGTCTGGACCAGGCTGCGGGTCTGGACCAGGCTGGGGGTCTGGACCAGGCTGGGGGTCTGGACCAGGCTGTGGGTCTGGACCAGGCTGTGGGTCTGGACCAGGCTGGGGGTCTGGACCAGGCTGGGGGTCTGGACCAGGCTGGGGGTCTGGACCAGGCTGTGGGTCTGGACCAGGCTGGGGGTCTGGACCAGGCTGGGGGTCTGGACCAGGCTGTGGGTCTGGACCAGGCTGGGGGTCTGGACCAGGCTGGGGGTCTGGACCAGGCTGTGGGTCTGGACCAGGCTGGGGGTCTGGACCAGGCTGGGGGTCTGGACCAGGCTGGGGGTCTGGACCAGGCTGTGGGTCTGGACCAGGCTGCGGGTCTGGACCAGGCTGGGGGTTTGGGGATTTTCCACTCCGCGCCGTCGCGCCCCGGGCCCTGCCTGGTGGTGGTGGGGGGGGGCTGTGAATCATCGACACCACCGCTGGTCCCACGCGGCGGATCTCGTGCCCGCCTTTGTCTCTCCGCAGCTGCCTGAGGCGGTGTCCCGTGCCGATGATGAGTCCCGGTGACGGTGAAACCCGCCCGCGGCTGCGTCTGTGTCACTGCCAAGTTGGGTGCTCCGACGTCTGCGCGGCAACATGACCACGCAGTTCTTCTTGAGCTGGTGGTCTGGATAATGCTGATGAGAGATTGTGGTGCAGCAATGTTGCTGCACCCATCTGTGTGGCGTGCACTCCACGGCGCTCAGTCCCCATGGCCCTGTCATCAAAAGCCGCCCCACCGATATCGTGGTTCCCACATCCATCAGCCGAGTGCCACCCTAAATAACAACTGTGTAAGCAGATAACAAAACATACCTTCCATAGAGAAACACGCACGCGTTACCATCTCTCCCTTCACACGCAACACGCGGTGGTATAAGTCTACACGTGGCAGCATCCACACAGCCCTTTGGGAGCAAATGTTTCACCAGCAGGAGGTTTAACACGAGACCACAGTGCCGGGCTCGCGGGATCAGTGTGGAAGAGTAGACCAAGTACCCCCGACAAGTCTTAATAGCGGAGGGTTCATCCGGCCAGCGGTGTGGCGAGCTCGCACTTGCAGGGCTGCGCCTGCACCCTGCCCAGCAGCCCCCCCCCCCCCCCGTAGCACCCCCCCCCCCCCCACTGCGTTCGCTGCGCGCACGAAACGTCGCGCCGAAATCTGTAACCGGTTCCTGAGCATCGATCCCGAAACCGGTTACCGGTTCAGCGGCTGTGACATCGAGGCGCGTCACGGGGCGACATGGCGGACCTGGCGTCTAAGCAGCTGCTGCCCAAGAGGTGAGAGAGAGAGACAGAGTGTGACAGAGTGAGTGGTGAGCTGAGAGACTTGAGTGAGTGAGTGTGGTGAGTGAGTGAGTGTGGTGAGTGAGTGAGTGTGGTGAGTGAGTGAGTGTGGTGAGGTGAGTGAGGTGATGGAGATGGAGGAGGGAGCGCCCCGAGGCGGCGTCTCCGCCGCGCGGGCCCCGCTAGGCCCAGGCCTGGAGGCCTCCAGGCCTGGGCCTCGCGGGGGCCTCTCGCGCAGTCGCCACAAAGACAAAGCTCCCCCGCGTAGCCTTAGCGCTCTGTTAGGGGCAAGTGCTGTTAGCGAGCAGCAGCTGTGAAGGCCGGCGCGACACACGAGGCGGTGGGTGGCCAACACCACGCCCGGCCGCCTTTGTCTCCCTAGTGGCGATGTTTACACCGCACCGGGTACTCATTTGAGGCTGAGTCTACCTAGGGGAGGCCCAGGTACCAGCTTAGATCAGTGTCACTGATGTTGTTGGCCGTGAGCAGGAATCGAACTCTGTACCACAGCCATTGTACCAACAACAACAACATCATCATCATCAACAACAACACAGGGGCACGGCTGTGTTTGTAACCGCAGTTGACTGGCGTGGCACCCGAATTCATCCACGTGACGGGTGGTGGTGGTGGGTCTCACCACGTGGCGGGTGGTGGTGGTGGGTCTCACGACAACAACAACCTGGATGGAGCATTACGCGGCCGGACCAAACACACACAAATCAAGTCCAGTGTGAATGAAGCTTCCCTGAACTGATGGTCTTCGTTGTGGGGCATTTTAATCTGCGTCTCGGTGAAGGCGAGTTGAGGCCGCCCCCCATTCGTGTTGTCAACAAGCAGAGGGAGTCGCAGGTGACCAGCCCCGAGTTGCTGGCAACTTCGCCTCGCTCTTCGTTACTCATTACTCATTGTCTTACAACAGCCGCATTGAAGACGCTTACGCTGCCCGCTGTGATTCCGTGTGTACAGTCATTACAGTCTTGTACACGGCACTTTGTGCGTTTTACACGTTTATAGATTTATACTCTTGCAGTTTTTAAATTTTTATGGAACAGACTTTAGACTTGTGGGTCTTTACGCATCACACACTCGTGCTAATGCAAGTTAGAGCAGGCAAGTGCAAAGCCACTCACACACGTTTTTAAGACGATTCGTGTCCAGCTCCCCAATGCAGACCCGTGGGCTGTGGATTAGACACAAACGTTAATCTCATTCCCTTCTCCCTCTCACCTCGCCTCTCTGCCACTTCTACAACAAGACTCGTGTATCACGCGCCTCGTTCGCCATTCTGCCTTCTCTAAGAATGTAATTTAAACCGAAGAATATCAATACACATTTTAAATGAACCTCTAAATGAAAGGCTACCTGAAAAACAAACGTTAAATTCGACTTCTGTATATTCTTGCGTATGACAGCAATATGTTATGGAGCTAAATGCCAATGTCAGGGTCTGCTAGCCACTAGGAGAGGGCCTCGGGGGAGAGAGTCGAGCTGAAGTGTTGCTAATCCTACGTTGGAGTGCAGACAGTCGTTTTACTATATGGGACATAGTGAAACAATAATTATTCACAAAATAATGTCGTGTCTAAAACGAGACCGTGAATGAGAAAATGCAACTGCACGTTCTGCTTCACCTCTGGCTTCATAGTGATTAGCTAGGCCACTCACAGCCCTGGCACATGACCCTTAACATGGTACATGACCCCTAACATCCATGGTACATGACCCCTAACATCCATGGTACATGACCCTTACATCCATATCACACCATCTGCCTGAGCAGTGAAACCCAGTCTCGAAGTGCAGGTGAAATAAAATCTGCAATGTAAAACTGAAATGGCCTCCAGTTGTAGTGTTCAGTGCTTCAGCCCTGGTGGCACTATTCTGTGTGTGGCACGTTTATCTCTGCAGCGTGAAGATCGCGCCAGGTGCTGTTGTCTGTGTGGAAAGCGAGATCCGAGGACAGGTCACCATCGGTAACTGCATGCCCTTCACAATAATTTCGCGTGTTTCATTCGCAACACCATTAAAAAAAAAGATCATTTTCGTGGCTGTGGCTGGGTGGAAACACTTTGTAGGAAAACAAACAGAATCTAATTTATTTTATCAGAACGAAACTGGTGCAAACAAAACAAGCTTGCACACATGTCCAACATATGGAGTCTGCTGATATTAATCAGATTTCCAAAACACTTTAAGTTTATCAAACAGTGACTCAGTCTGGAACTTGCATTTGATTTCATATGGTTTGGACATGTAACTAAGACTTCATCATTAAATATTTTTGGTTAATGCTCAGTTCTTATTGTTTTATTTTGGCAGAGATGTTTGAGTTGTTAGTGAGGATTTGGCTTGACTAATCCATGGAGCAAACAAAAACTCCCGATGAAGGATATCGTTAAAATATAATTTACGTTTACTGGACTCCAATTATTATTGTTTTCAATTAAATACAATCTTTTTTTGTCACGTAAGTGAAATACCTTCCTGCTGTCTGTGTGGAGTGTCGTCTCCTATCGCTGCCGGGCTGTGCCTCTGGTATCGTGCCACCCTGACGTGGACAAAGAGCACTCGGCACACTTAGAAGGTGTCAGATGTAGAAGCAAATTTACTTAATTTGTCAGTAGTGTGTGGGTAAGCCTTCACATTCTAGACACGTTTACACATTTCCATAAATCTACAGTGTTCCGCATTAGTTATACACAAGCATGAAGCCACGCGGCGAACTGAATTAAGTCTGCATCAATTAGTCTCAAGCATTTCCATAGAGTACAGCCATTCTTCATATGTGAATGCACACCAAACGATGTTTACGTGAGCATGTTCAGGAGCTCCACTCCGCTCACGTCATCAAGGCCACATCTGTTACTTGGTCTTCAGCGTTTTGCAAACTGGTGCTTCACAGCCTACAGTGTTCAATGCTTGCCGCGTCTACGCTCACCTATATGCACTCACGAATGCTCACAAACACCATGGAACGCCCATGAGCACCTAAACCTTGCATCACATTCATCTCCGCTAAAAAATTATTTGTACATTTAGAAAGATACCTTTCAGAATCCTATGTTCTGGTGTTATTGATTATCTGGCAGGTGGGTGTGTACTGAAGAGATGTTGAATCTATTTTTCAGGAACAAGGACAGTTATCCATCCCAAGGCCAGGATTATAGCTGATGCGGGCCCAATAATAATTGGGGAGAACAACCTGATCGAAGAACAAGTGGTGATCATCAACCGGTGAGGCTTCATTCGGCCGAGATAAGCTTTGGGAATTCTGTGCAATGGAGGGGATGCGGGTCCTATTACGATCAATCGGTTGCATCGCTATAGACACGTTTACACCATTGTTGCACTGTGAAGTCATTTAAGATGCATGTGGTTGCACGCTGTCACATCAAATTGAGCCAGATTCAAATTTTTGTAGCCGTGATGATAATCTAACATTCATTCAACTGCTCTGGCTGTACTTTGTATGATGATGGTGATGAGGTTTCTTCTTGCCGTCTCCCTCTAGGTTGCCAGACAAGAATCCGTTGTCAGAGAAAAATGAAATGGAACCAGTGACGATGGTGATCGGAACCAACAATGTGTTTGAAGTTGGCTGTCGTATCCTTTGCTTAAAAGCATTGAACATTAAATCCACTCGGGCATATCATCATCATCAGTCCCTTTACCCGTTGGGGTCGTGAGGGAGCCAGTTGACTCCACCTCTCGCAATGCCAACTGCGCAACGACTGCCGCTCGTATTCCTCTCCAAGATCGTTCTGCTGCCAACCCATATTTTAGTGTTTAAACTTTTTTATTAAAATTCCTTTGCATAAATGGTAATTTTATAACTTAATCCTATTATTTGCAGGGGCAAGGAAACCACACTCCTTTCTGATATCGCCACACCTTATGAATTTGCAAATAAAATAAGCCAGGGGTGAAAACACACATGCTGAGAAGACAACATTTTCGTTGTGTGCTCGAGAGGAGTTCCCATACCAGCACGTGTGCAGTGTGTCACGTCAGACCCTGGAGCACTGTATCTCTGTGGACGTGAGTCTTCTGGAGTGATACAGGAGAGCCCCTATCCACTCATTCTCCTACCTGCACAGCCAGGCGCTCTAGTCGAAGTGTCGGGCAGCTGAATTTACATTTCTCAATTTGGTTTATGTGCTAAATGAGGTTCGAGTGGAAACCAGAAATGGTATGTGTGATGACGTGGAGACTGCTGTCGTGGTTAAGAGAGAGGTGTCCCCATCGGACGGTGTCCCAACGTCCAGATCCTCGAGCCTTCCAGCCTCTCTACCTATACACACTAATGCGTGTGTAGGAGCAGACTCACTGACACCAATATTTTTTGAAGGCTAGTTGGCTGAAACATCGAGACATTTATTTTCACTGATTAAAAGTAAAGAAATCCTGTTATCTTTACATTGCTATGCATGTTTGAGAATCCTTTGTTATTGTCTCTGTGTTGTAGCTACCTTTAACTTTGTTATTCAGAAAGCGAAGCATTGAAAATTGGAGACTATAATACTATCGAATCAAAAGGTACTGGGACATTTGGACATTTTTGTACGGGTTTAAAAAAAATCTTTAACTCTTTTTTAGGAGGTTGAATGCAGAAAAAGCCTTAAATATGTTGTCTATACTTGGCTTGTCTTAATCCAGCTCTAAAGAACATCCTCCACACTTGCAACAGGCTTATGCCTCAGTGGGATAAAGGTGTCTTTTGAAGGGATCCTAGAAGTAGTTTTGTGATACATGTGATGTTACAATAATTCCATATATTAATTTCTTCACACGTTATAATATAGTGTGCATTTACATTGCATCTCAATGCAGCTTCATCTCACGATGCTGCGCAGAAGTTGGTCAGTGTCATGACAGACATGATGCCAATAGCACGGTAGCAGTATAGATTGATTATATAATTATTTTCTCACAATTTTCCAGTGGTGACACTGGTGTAATGTTACCACCAAATACATTGCCATTCAGCCTGTGCCAGTGTAGCCCCTGGAAGATGGCATCACAGCGCTGCTCCTGGAGTCCCTTCTATCAGCCACTCATCCACATTGGGAGGCAAACCTTTTCATATGTAACACATTACATGTTAGTTGCATGTCATTCAAATCAAAAGTTTAATCCTCAGAGCTGGACTATGCTAAATGAGGTGACAAACCAATTCCCTAAGGGTTGTATTGTTGGTGGTAACACTGAGAAGATCAACTCGCTACTCTTGGGAACGCAGCTTAATCACGGGTGGCTGAAGTCTGGATTTGAATCCTGCAGCTCAGCGGTGCCGGCTAATGCTCTGAGCCACACGATCACCTCGATGATAATCCAGGTATAATTTAAAAACCTGAGCACTGCTCTCATTCATTGCAGCCTAACCTCGATGCAGCTCAAAAGTGCGTTTGTTTTCCAGCCATGGTCGGGAGGAGCACAGTGCTGAGCAGCGGCTGTGTGGTCGGCGCCTGCTGTAAGGTCAACACGGACGAAGTGATCCCCGAGAACACGGTGGTCTTCGGCGAGCGCTGCTCGCGCAGAACCCAGTCCGAGAAACCACAGGTGCCGCACCTTACCCTGCCGGGGAGGGGGGGGGTCATGAGTGGAAGGGTCAAGGTGTCACCACACTTCACCATTGGCTTCTGCCCGATCCCACAGTTGGTGAAAAGTCTGCTGTTAATTTCCCACTATCTCGAGATCCTCCCCTTGGACACTGACCTCTGGGTCTCACTCCAGTGCTCATCTCTATAGCCAGCTCTGCTTTAGAATCAGAATCTTTCTAGTGGAGGAATCCGATGAGCTATGAAGCTCTTTTTCACAGATGTCCAGCATATGTGTTCCTCCCATCACAACCTCCTTTTCCATGTGTCATTTTCTTGCTACATTCGATTTTTATTGTCCAAGCTGTTTACCCTTTTCTGCCATAAAACTAGCATATTTGGCATACACCTTTTTTAAAGACTAGAAGATATATTTTTCTCTTATTTGTAAACAGTCATTACACGTGCCTCAATCATTGATATTTGAACGTCTTCCTGTTGGTGGCACTGCAGAGAGTAAATGGGTTGAATGAGATGAATTTATTTTCTACCTTGTCTGAAACGGCAAACTATAACAACATTTGTAAAACATTCAACCAGAATTAAAAATGTTCAGCGTTATTGACATTAAATGAAACTTAATATAACTTAAAATCAAACTTATTTTGTTTGTAATTCTGGCAGTTTAATTTTTTTGTAGGTTTTACTTTCTGTATAAGGTAATAACCAAAACTTGAAATCTCCAACCTGCATGCTGGTGACAGCAGCATCATTGGGCACAAGTGCATTCCTACCAAACTCATGACCCAACTCTGTGGGATTCTTTTTCAGTCTCAGTCCCTGCAGCTGGATTTTCTCATGAAGATTCTTCCTAATTACCACCACCTCAAGAAGCCAAAAGCAGCGACACCAGCAAAGGCGTGAGACTTGGATAATTCCGTGTTCAAACGTGAAGATTTGCTTGTGGAACTGCTGCTACTGCTGCTGTCGATAAACATTTCTACACCGGTGAATTACCACAAATGAGAGCAGAGCATTCCTTTGCCGACGTGTGCGGTGTTGTGTCAGGAGCAGCACGGTTCCTTGATCACGTGTCATTCCCTGCGCTTAATGTCGTTTCAAATACTAACTGCTGGTGATTTTTATTTGTCTACGTTTTATAACTCGACAGCATCGCTTCTTAGGGCTCTTGTGAATTCATCTGTCAAATTAAAGTTCTAGCTTAGTTAACGAAGCAAATAAAATTGACGTCCAGTAATATGCTTTGTTGACCTTGCTCATCAAAGCAGCACTCACGTTACCAGTTTTGCCGTTGTTTTGTATTTTTTATTTCCATGCTTCCTATCCATTAAAATTAAGCGCTTGTTGAAATAGAATATTGCAGTCACAGTTACAAAATCAGACAAGATGATGGCAGTTTTGCATGACTCATATGCTGGTTTGTTGATATGACAAACATGAACTCCACCATTGCTATATGGCAATTGGGTACCTTAGTTGAAATGAAGGTTACAATGCCTTATTTATAATTTTCTTGCCGAGGGTTATCCCCAGTTTGATTATTTTCTAAAGTATGTAGGCAGTAATGGAAGCAGTTATTGTAATTCTGCATGAATAAAAGAATCCGTCTCATGTGCATTTCTGAATTCCTTGTTTTGAATGTCAGTCAAGTGAGTAACTTAAGGAAAAGAAAATGCAAGTACACAAGTATTTCAAGACGAGACCTGGGAGTCTCGCACACACTCACTCCGACTCGGTTTAGTTCCTCGTCACGATGCATTTCCCTTCTGACACTTGTGAATCGCAATCGAGTCGTTGCATGTAATTATTACAATTTGGACCAAGACGCCGCTACACAATGGCTTAACTCAGTTCGAATTACGTCAGGAGATCTTTAACGTCCAGATTGTGCACCCGCAGTAATAACCGGGATGGCCTGACGGATTTGCACTGTGAACCTTTGCAACAAATGGCGAGCTCACTGCCACTGGGAGATTCGCATCCTACATCTGAGCTGTGCTTGGAGTTACTCCTGCGCATGGCTTGGCAACTTGGGTGATGTGTACAATGCTTCAATGGCAAGGTGTTGTCATAAGGTGTGTCACGCGGCGCATTGCAGACGTGGGGATTGGTTTGAACGCAATGGGTAACAGCAGCCTAGTTACAATAACACGCGATGTTTTGCATAGTAATTGTTTTGGAACAACATCGCATGTAATACACGAATTAATTATCTTTCATTTTAATAGGTGTGAATCACTTGTTTTTTTTTTAGCGAGTGGAGACCTGGGCGAGTATGAATGTGATGTGTAAACACGCCTATATACTACTCGTGTTTGTTTGCAACACAAGATGCCAGTCAGCTGAATGTGTTTTTAATGGTATAGTATTCGTCTGGTCTAGGTTAAACGTAATGCTGATTGACATTTATGGGATTGGGGATAACATTACATGTGTGGTTTCCCGCTGATATTGTGCGGTGTTGCTCAATACTACTCAAATCCTGTTTATAGCTTAATCCAGTGGTGGACATTCCTCATTACTATGATGGGGGGCGCATATCTTCTGAATTTGGCTCCAAATACCATCACTGAATTCAGCTCGTAAAATAACTCCTAGAATTTGGCATTACACGAAAATAATTAAACTACGGTTTTTACGAAATGCAACTGATGAAAAACGCATGACTAAACATACATGGAAACACTGATTCAACTTCTTAAAAGAGAATGCACATTCTTGCTTGTACAGGGTTCTAGTTACCTGCAAGTCCCAACAAGCATGGGTCTGCAAGTGAAGACAATGCTCCTTCCTGGGTGTTCTATTGTGCTCGTGGTACTGAAAGGGCCCGGTGTTTGTCCTGGACGCATGGCACACACGCATGGCACACACACACACGCGCATGGCGTGGCACACACACGCGCATGGCGTGGCACGCACACACGACGTGGTGCCATCGGGGCCGCCTTCACAACCCAGCAGAGGACTCGCGTCCACAGCGACACACAGCATCACAGCACCAACAGCATCACAGCACCACCACAGCACCACCATCACCACCACCAACAGCATCACAGCACCACCATCACCACCATCACCACCACCACCATCATCACAGCGACACAGCATCACAGCTCCAGCATCATCATCACCACCATCATCACCACCACCACCAGCATCACAGCACCACCATCATCACAGCTCCAGCATCATCACCACCATCATCACAGCGACACAGCATCACAGCACCAGCATCATCACCACCATCATCACAGCACCACCACCACCGGGTACTGGGAGCGCCCTACCAGGTTTGATTGTTCGCACCCTAACCACGACTTGATAATAATATCAATGTTTTATTACTGTATATATGTATTTGCTGTATATAGGTATACGCTATGTATTATTTGTATGCTGTATATAAATATGGCCGTGTTAACTCGCCTGTAAAATAATATTGTGAGTTCAAATCAAAGCCAAGTTTGGATTTCACTCAGCCCATCATCCTTCCGGGGTAGATAAAACGAGTGCCACTTGATGGGGAAGTCAAGAGTGGTTGTCTGATGGAGACACTGGCCCCTGCCATAGGAACGCGGAATATTCGACCACTGGCATTGCCATTCGACGCGGAGATGAAAATCTTAGCAGCGTGAGCCCGTGCAGAGCTGAAACGTCACCCCGTGTTCCAGAAAACAGACTTCGTTCGATAAAGCCGTGCAGAGCCTCAACACGAACTCGGTAATTACGTCTCTCCCGTTTACGTTGATTCACAAAGACGTCGTCACTTCATGAATGCCGCTACCTAATTTGCGTCGCTTCCACCCACACCTATCAGCTCCGACCGTTACGTCTGGAAGGCGAACACGAAATGCGGCTGTGTAGTCAGGTTACAGAGAAGTGGTCAACACAAGGGGTATATCGGATCAATTGCTTATGCGGTAAATGCTATATTGGTCAGACGGGATGTAACATCAGCGTAAGACTAAAAGAACACCAAAGGAACATTACATTCTCACAAACACAGCTGTCAGCAGTGGCAGAGCATGCTTGCCAACAAGGACATTCAATTGCTTTTGATAACGTTGAAGTGTTATGCAAAACTAATTATTACTGGCCAAGACTAATTAGAGAATCAATAGAAATTGAGAAGAATACAAATAATTTCAGCCGCTGTGATAGCGACAGACTCCGCGCAGCCTGGAAGCGTATTCTGAAGTGTTACACAACACATATTGCAATTGCTTAGAGGAGTCACGTGCTAAGTGACAGATTACTGATCTATTACACAATTGCAATAACCCGCCCACCTCTGCGTCTGATCTTGCACCTTGGTGGGGTTCAACAACGACGATGATGTCACCCTGCTGCTCTATGTAAGACCGGGAGCAGGTGGGTGGCTTCGCTATGCTGGCAGATCGTCCGAAGACGCTGGTTGATGTAATTACCAGCGAAACGTCACAGTACTCAAATTCTAATTGTCGTGGATTCACTCCTCAACACACCGGCGGGCTGAAGAAGTATCTAATTGGCGTTTTGTCAACGTGACACATTGTTTACTGATTGCCCGTGTCGGGTGGTGGAGGGTTGCAACACATTATAATAACGCGATCTCACCCAAAAATCTTTATTATGAATAGTAGTGGTCGCGAAAGCCGCTTACGTGTTAAACAGGCCACAGAGATGATGCGTTTCGCAGTGTGTAGCCCTCACTCTGTGCTGAGTCGATCCCTCGCGTGCACAGGGTTCCCCTCGTTGCTACGGAACGTTCTGTATTATGAAAGGAAATCGCGTGTCTCAAAGTGTTGCAGAATTTCCTGTCCCGCTTGAACGATGGGTGATATCCACGAGGAAATCAGGGAAATCCTCAACAACCTCAAGGGCCTGGAGAGGTAGCACGCACACCTACACATCTCCTTCACCGCACTACCGAGCCGAGCCAGTGCCGAGCCGAGCCAGTGCCGAGCCGCGCCAGTGCCGAGCCGAGCCAGTGCCGAGCCAGTGCCGAGCCGAGCCAGTGCCGAGCCAGTGCCGAGTCGCGCCAGTGCCGAGCCGAGCCGAGCCACGCCAGTGCCGAGCCAGTGCCGAGCCGAGCCAGTGCCGAGCCGCGCCAGTGCCGAGCCGAGCCAGTGCCGAGCCGAGCCAGTGCCGAGCCGAGCCAGTGCCGAGCCAGTGCCGAGCCGAGCCAGTGCCGAGCCGAGCCAGTGCCGAGCCGCGCCAGTGCCGAGCCGCGCCAGTGCCGAGCCGAGCCAGTGCCGAGCCAGTGCCGAGCCGAGCCAGTGCCGAGCCGAGCCAGTGCCGAGCCGAGCCAGTGCCGAGCCAGTGCCGAGCCGAGCCAGTGCCGAGCCGAGCCAGTGCCGAGCCGCGCCAGTGCCGAGCCGCGCCAGTGCCGAGCCGAGCCAGTGCCGAGCCAGTGCCGAGCCGAGCCAGTGCCGAGCCGAGCCAGTGCCGAGCCGCGCCAGTGCCGAGCCGAGCCAGTGCCGAGCCGAGCCAGTGCCGAGACAGTGCCGAGCCAGTGCCGAGCCGAGCCAGTGCCGAGCCGCGCCAGCCCGGCGCGCCTCGGGACGCGTCGGGGTGTGTTTCCACAGCACAAGCCGAGCCGTGCAGCAGTATGCAGGAGGTCGTGGGTTTGACCCCGAGCTTGGCGCCTGTATATTTGGAGTTTGCGTGTCTCTTTCTCCCCTTGGTCGCGTGGATTTTTCTCCGGATCCTTCGGTCTGCCCTCCACATTTAGAATCCACACGCGGTTTGGAGTATTTGGCTACTTTACCATTTCCGCACGAGACGCCACTCGTTGAGCTACCGTTTGTAGCCAGGTCGCTTCTGTAAGAGAGCGATATCGCTCGGTGGGCCTTACCTGCTAAAATGAATTTTCAAAAATAAAAATGACTTGCCCTTTTCATCCGCGTGAAACGGCTCTACAGACGCAATCGCTGATGACTACGCCACAAGTGCGGTAATCATTTTACACACCCCAGAGGGATGATAGGCCGAGCCAAACTCCCGGCTGGGATTTGTTGTTGAGTGCTCCCCGGGCGCTGCCCGGCGCCGTGCGCGTGGCAGCTTCGCGTGCGACGACTGCATGGAGCTGATGAAGAAGCTCTGCAGCGTCTACTGGGAGCACGAGGAGTCGCGGGGGGTCATCTGCGAGGTGTTGACCGATGAGAACTCTGAAGGTGCGAGCTCACCCTGCACCACGCGTGTGACGCCGCACCACGTGTCAGTCACGGAAACAACGCTCGACACATTCGCCGATAACGCTGCGGTGACAGGGCGATAGATACACGCCGTCGACCCCATTCATATTCCGCCCGTACCCAAGCCTCGCCCGAGGCACTGCTGAGGGTATCAGGGGCACATTCAGTCCACCACCATCACGTCCCGCTCGTCTTGGGTGAAGGTCACCACTGGGACAACATTTTCACGTCAGCACCGATTAATTTATTGCCTCGCTCGTTTGCCCAGGAGAGCCTCGCCATGTCTCAAGACTCGTGTTCAGGAGGGTCCTGCCAGGTCTGCGCAATCGTGGCGCGATGTCGCTGCTGTGCGTGATCCCGAGTGAGCGATTTGCAGGGACACTGCCAGCGGCGTTGCTGCTCACAGTCTCGTGTGACCACTGACAGCGTCCTCTTGTGTGTGGCGACAGAGATCTTCATGAAGGCCCTGACGGAGCTGTCGGGCAAGGGCCTCATGAAGGACAACTCCGTGTGGTTCCCTGCCTACTACGTCCTCAACGCCGTCTGGAACTTCAGCGACGCCAGCCTGCAGCTCGGTGAGACATCGGCGCGGGATTTGGAGAATCGAGTTGGTGGATCGTGGAGAGGAGCAGTGAAACTACCAACCCACTGCTGGCTTTGCGAGGTGGCCACTTGGCAGTACAGCAAGCAGGTCCCTCAGTAGATCTGCGCGGTCCATTCAGTGTCGTGGCCCTTGGGTGCGCGAGTTTTGTTTGTTCCGATGGAGACTGCTCTGGTGGCCTCCTCCCGTGTGCCGCGCTCACAAGGCGCGCTGCTCCTCGAATCGAGTCTTGAGACTCAGTGAGGCTCTCCTGGATTAATAGATGCATTGTTATTATTGATGAATCCGTTGCCAACAGTACAGACTGGCCTTGCCTGAACTCTATCCACGTTCCTTCCTCTCGTGGACTGGTCCACGCATGGCCCCCTACTGACGGGCTCGTGCCCAATTGGGGGCCAGGTGCTGAGTCACCTCGTGGCGGCACAGGGACAGCTACCACTGGGGGTGCCCTTTCAAACATCAGCCGCTTCCCGGCAAACATGGAACGTGGAGCGCGCGACGCGGCTCGGAGACGCCGCGGGGTGAGGGAAGGGGCTCTGGCGAGCACAACTCGAGAGGTCGTCCTCGTCACGAGGGTGCCCCGCGTGTGTCCACAGCAAAGGCCCTGGGCAAGGTCGGCCTCATCAAGTACCTGCTCACCATCCTGAAACACGAGCCCTACCGCGAGCGCTTCAAACAACAGGTGGGTCAGGCACTGGTGAGGCACTGGTGAGGTACTGGTGAGGTACTGGTGAGGCACTGGTGAGGTATTGGTGAGGTACTGGTGAGGCACTGGTGAGGTATAATACTCCGGGTTCTGCACCCGAGTGGCCGTGCAGGCGCAGTTTGTGTCCTGCACGTGGGGGGGGGGGGGGGGGCAACCGACGCGTGGGGACAGCGCTCACGAGTCCCCCCCTGAGCGCGTGCCGTGCCCCCCCAGAACGTGCACTACCTGCTCAAGGCGTCGCTCAGCATCCTGCACAACGTGGCCAAGGCGCCGGCCAACCGGCAGCTGTTCCGCAGCGAGAACGCCATGGAGACCGTCATCCCCTATATGAGCATCAAGGACAACTTCCTCAAGGTGGTGGCCATCATGCTGCTGGGCTACATCATCGACGAGAGCGAGGCCGAGCTCATCATGGACAAGTCGAGTACGGGCAGCACCACGCGGCTCGCTGGCAACCCCCCCATCACGCTCACCCAGCCACCCACTCACTCATGCAGTCACTCTCACCCAACCACTCTCACCCACTCACTGACTCTCACCCACCCACTCACCCACCCACTCACTCTAACCCATTCACTCTCACCCACTCACTCACTCTCACCCACTCACTCACCCACTCACTCACTCTCACCCAACCCACTCACTCTCACCCACTCACTCACTCACCCACTCACTCTAACCCATTCACTCTCACCCACTCACTCTAACCCATTCACTCTCACCCACTCACCCACCCACTCACCCACTCACTCTCACACTCTCACCCACTCACTCTCACCCACTCACTCTCACCCACTCACCCACCCACTCTCACACTCTCACCCACTCACTCTCACCCACTCACTCGCCTCGCTTGCTCCAGCACCAGCTGGACGGCAGCACACCTGACAATGCCGCCCGCGGCACCCACGATGGAGATTATGTAAAATCGCAGCCAAAATAAATCCAGCAAATGGATTAAGGAGTGCAGTCAAACCTGTCCAAGCCAGATACGGTAAGCCAACATTTGGGGATATGCCAGCAAGGCCCTCTAAACCGTGTTGACACTGACTTAGCTCGGAATACTGTATATATGTATAGGCAGGAATATATATAGGCAGTGCTAGCAAAATAAAACATGGTTCATTGTTTAGAGTAAGAGAGAGCACGGGTGAGCATTGCGCGTGGTGCAAAATGAGCAGGCTGGGTGTGCGTTGTTGCCGTGGGCGCAGATGCCATCAGCATCATGGTTGGGATGCTGAACAAGGCGATCGAAAACGGCCGCTACAAGGGCTTCACGGCGGAGGAGCTCACGGAGGCCCTGTCTCTCATCGCCACCTCTGAGAAGAACAAGCAAAAGGTACTTGGTGGTGGAGTTGTACATTAGCAGCCAGGGTAATTGATGATACGGCACTTGCTCATGCACTCCGGCGGTCAGTCGCCTCCCCCCCCCCCCGCGTGAACCCCCCCCCCCCCCGCGTGACCCCCCCCCCCCCCCCGCGTGAACCCCCCGCGTGAACCCCCGGACGCGAGGCGTGTGAGTGGTGATGGAGCTGTCGAGGCCCTGACTCGGCGCGCGCAGATCCACGACGAGGGCGCCGTGCCCATCATGGTGCAGCTCATGAGGTCGGGCAAGAGCAAGGAGCAGCGCTTCGCCGCAAAGGTGGTCTGGCAGATTTCCTTCGACGAGGAGATCCGCACCGTCCTGCAGAAGGGTGCGTCCACGCCTTGATTTTGCCACTCAATATTTTCCGGGATGCTCGTAGACTACGATGGGCAGTCTACGAGCAACACCCGACCTAAAATCCGCAGCTGTAGCCGGAGGTATCCCGGACGTCAAGTTCCGGGTGCGGAAATATTTTCGAGGTCGCTGACCCCGGAGAGAACGGCTTGAAGCGAGGTCCCGTGTCCACGCCACTGTGGGGGGGCACGGGAGGGGGGGGGGACGGCGTTCATTCTCAGGCTGTAGGAGGAGCAGGAGGAGCAGAGTCCTCACTGGGCCCAGAGGTGCTACGACTCCCAACCCCCCAAACCCGCACGACATGCACTCTGAAACGCGTGTTGTATGTTGAACGTCTTTCACACCGTACGTAGACAACCGTGCTAATCGGAGGTGTGTGCATTTAGCAATGCCATGTTTTGATTCATATTTCGAAGGATGGAGGAATATCTGTCATATTAGACGTCCAGATTGACCTTAAGGAGCGTATACCTATTCACAGCTCTCACAGCTCAAGGGAGTCAGTTTCTAAAATCGCCCTCTTCAGAGCAACATGGAAGATAATACGCATTTTCACATGAGACTATTTCCATTCAAATATTCTGCACACCAGAATGAAAACCAGCTCGCCCATTTGTTTCCATCTCCCATGACATCGCATGCCGGCGGTGCCGCTGCTTACAACAACAACAATAAAAAAGATTTTACTACACATATTTGTACCATCTTATTTGACAGGTACTTTTCTACTTTACCGAGTATTGACATCCCCAGCGTTCAAACAGTACTGCCTTTTTGTATTTGGATTCTCAACCAACACCGGTTTAGGTCGAGGGACACCGATTGTTTCTTGTGCAGGACGACGTTCGCCAATTTCTCTTGTAGCCCCGCCCACCACCCCCACGTTCCATTCCCTGGCTACCACATTCAGATAAGCCCCTCCCCCCTTAACTTGTATTTAAGGGCTGGTCTCTTGGAATTTTTCCTCACTTGATGCAGTAATTTTAGCTGTGATGGTCCCACCTGATGACGGAGACTTGTGTTGCCTCCGAAACGTCGTGATTTATTATTTTATTTCTATTATTACTTCTATTAATTTTATTTTTATTTTTTACCTACGTGACTTTACCGAAAAAGCCTAAGAGTAACACCTCAGCTCACACTCACCGCCATCTCCTCGTCCTTGTCCTTGCCAAAGACGAGGAGCTCCTGCAGCAGCTGGAGGAGCTGTCGAGCTCCCAAGACAAGGACGTCGCCACCGTGGCTGAGGGCGCGCTGTGGGTCATCAACAACAAGGGCAGCGAGAAGTCCCGGCAAAACCAGGCCGTCAAGGACGGGGGTGGGTCCCGGCACGCTCTGGTCCTGCCGCCGGCCTCTCACCAATGCCCCCAGATGTCGTGTTCCCGTTTATTCATAGATTCGTGGATGAAGGTTAAAAGTGATCGGCCTGTCAGCATCACGCCGTGACGTGGACACATTCTCATTGCACACTCTTGGGGAAAGGGCACAATACCTCGTGACGTCACAGGGAGAGCTGTGTGACGTCACTCCACTCGCCGCCTGTCCAGACCGGGTGGCTTCCCGCACGCCCTGCTACAGACGCGTTTGCTGTACAGCGATCGCACCATTTTGTATTTCTAGGTAATAAGTGTGTGCCAGATTTAAATTAATCAAATTTGATCTCACCAGGGGGTCGTTTGTGCAGTCAGTAATGACCAAGCTGAGACCATATCCACACGACCCCGGAGAGCCCGCTCTGATGGCAGGCAACTCCAGGGCTCTTCTTAACCATTGATAAACATGGTAGCCGCCTATGAGGATAATCATCTTCAAGCCACCGGTCGACTCATCAGTGGCATCGGCTTCAGACGACATCCACATCACCCCTCGTGCATGGCAGCGCAAGGGCCTTCGCGACCAACTGCTTGTGTCTGTGATCAACCGTTCACAGGCGTCTGCACGAACCACATCATGATCAGCTATCAGTGGGACTACCAGGACGTGCTCATCCAAGTGAAAGATAGACTCAAGGTGAGCCCAGGGGCCAGGGCCTCTGATGTTGACTGCTATCTGAGTCCTGCACCATCACACATTGCCCAGGGGCTGTGCGACATACATACCCTCCAATCCCTATGGGGCTTTGTACGATGTCTTGATGACCCTAAACCCGGGCGATTTGTGATGTGCTTATTATCCAGTGTCTCGGGTACGTTGCTCATCCGTCACTTTATACATGGACCGTGTGATCACTATCAGCCACCATTAATTCACTGCTGAATGAAGGCCTCCGCCAAACCAATGCCGTGTTACCTAGTCCCGTGACGTCATAACGATTCATCTTGCACGTGGGACGGTGTCGCCGCTCCGCCTCCTCGCTGGACGTCCTCTCCAGGTGGGTCTCTTCCTCTTCCTGCCGCTCCAAACGACGATTAGCCTCGAGCACGCGGCGTCGTCCCTTCTAGCCGCCGCGACGCGCCCTGCCCTCGCCCAGCGAACCTCCGGGCGGCACGCCGTGCCCTCGACTCGCTCGCGCTCCCTGACGCCGCTGCCCGTGCCCGACAGAGCCAGGGCTTCCGCGTGTGGATGGACGTGGAGCAAATGGAGGGCTCCACACTGCAGGCCATGGCGGAGGCCGTGGAGAACGCCGCCGTGGTGCTCGTCTGCTGCTCCCAGAAGTACAAGGAGAGCCCCAGCTGCCGCACCGGTACGTACGGAGCGCCCTCCCCTTCCCCGTCGTTGACAGCTGTGAGATCCGTGGCTGGGTTTGTCGCTGCTCCCTCCGACTAAATTTGCTACTTGGTAAACGCGGAAAGTTAAAGGCGGTTAGAATATACGAGGAAACATAGTACCGTATTGCAATAGAATTATGGGTTTGTCTGCAATGCCCTCTGCTGTCCACTACTTGGCCCGGCAAACTCCTATGACAACCTGTGCTGGGCATGCACAGTGGTCACCTATTGACGCGCTATCCAGGCTCAATCTGCTCGGCTTCCGATTTCTGACGAGAGCGTGCGCATTTTCGGTTTATTTGGCCGTGCATAATAAGCACATCACACACGAGTTATGTCGAGCGGCCGAGCCGAGCTGGGCAGCGAGCTGGCGTGCGTGTGGCGGCACAGAGGCAGAGTACACGTTCCAGCTGCACAAGCCGGTCATTCCTCTCATGATGGAGCGCAAATACCGGCCCGACGGCTGGCTGGGCATCATCGTCGGTGCCAAGCTGTGGATGGACTTTGGCACCAAGACCAACTTTGAGCAGAACTTCAACAAACTCGTCAAGGAGCTACACGGGCGCGGGCGTGACAGCGAAGGCGACACCATGGACGGTGACGGACGCTCACAGCGCACGCACAGGGCTCACAGGGCATCGTGGGATTCCAAAGCCAATCACACATGACATCATCAATTGGCATTGCGGGCCCAAATGTAAGTCGTGATTCAGCAGCCGGGTAACATGATGATGAGGTTGCGGCTGGGAGTCAGACCAGGCCTGCGTCTCTCTCGAATCGGCCGTCGCTCTCTCACCACTCTCTGCCCGCGTGCGCGTGGCCGCTGCCAGGCCCTGTGAAGTCCACGGCCTCCTCCTCGCTCTCGGCCACGCTCGGCCAGCCCAGGGGCGCTTCCGCCGAAAAGCTGCAGGCGTGGGGGCCCAGCGACGTGGCGCGCTGGCTCACAGAGAGCGGCCTGGAGAGCTGCCTGGCTCTCTTCAGCAGCTACGACGGCCGCCTGCTGCTCCGGCTGCTGGAAATCCGCAAAGAGGTGGCGACACCTCCTCCTCCACCTCCTCCACCTCCTCCACCTCCTCCACCTCCTCCACCTCCTCCACCTCCTCCACCTCCTCCCTGTTCTCATACGCGGCGCCGGCCTCTTGCCAAAATCAGTTGGAAGGAGCCGTGCCAGTGGTCTAGCTTACTTCAGATCGAGTGTTTCACTCAAGTTTCACACTCGCCTGTCTTCCTTAACCGGGTCAATAAAACAAACCCCACATTGAGAATCAGCATTGGTCAGAGAGCAGCTGGTCCCTACCACATACTCGGGGCCCCCCGCAGAGAGGAATGCCGCCCCATCGCCCGTTTGAGCAGGGAGGTTCTTCGACTCGAAGCTCACCTCCAACCTCTCATCTTTCTTGTGCGTGTTCTAATTTCAGTCTCCTGAATTCTTCTTCCGGAGCCTCAAGAGGGACATGGGTTTCAGCTCGATGCGCGAGATTCTGATCTTTGTGGATGCCGTGGAGAAACTGGAGCTCTGAAGAGCGCAGGAGAGAGAGAGACGCGTTGGGGACGAGGGCTCAGAATCCCGCCGGAGAGGATGTCGGGCTGGCGGCACGTTCACGTAGCTCTCGTCACTTTACCGCACGTGCACAATCCAATCATTGTTGTCCACACAGGAACAAATCTGAACCGATTACGTTCACTCTGAAGAGAATGATTTAGAGGCGCGCACATGGGCGGAGTTTGTGGGGGGGGGGGGGGCACGGTTGGGCAACGCCCCGTATAAATTGGGCACCTTTATTGATTTATTTTTAGTAGTTTACAATTAAGATTACAAATAAAAAAATTAATTATATGCACCCGCGCTTTCTAATGTGAGGGACAAAGCAAACCCCTGTCCGGTCCAAATATAGAAGTCAAACTCCGCCTATGGACTTGAGAAAACACACAAGTGCTTGGGAAGGCAGCCAAAACTGGTGCCAACACACCTTGCCCACGGGCTGTGGCCCTATATTGGGACGTGTGGCCATCTCCATTCGGAAGTTTTTCTGTATTTTAGTGTCAAAAATTACAACCGTGTCATCACTTTAACCGAGGAGTCTTCGCTATATTGATTGGTACGCAAGATGGAACGCCTCTTCCGTGGTGATAAACACCACAAGGTTTAGGTCCACTCCACCTTTTCAGCAGAAACAATGGGCGTCCTCTTAACTGCGATTACTAAATCGCCGCATCGCCATCATCGAGACTCCGATCATAGGGGTGTGATGATGATGATGACGACAAATTCCGGGCCGACGGTGGTGCTGGAGAGGGTTGCATCCCACCGATGTACCCAGGCTTGCATCGTGACCGAGGTGTTAGGGAACATGTTGCTAGCATTTCAACCGTGGAGTTGCAAAGGCTGTTTAATTATAAATGACTATAAATCGGCGATACCCTCGTGTTCTATTTGTATTTGTGATGTTTAATCATCACGTCTGCGCAGAAAACGTCACACCAAGAACTCAAAAACAGATTCGGGTTCAACATTTAATTTTTCCCCAAATGTTTTTCAACACCACGATTAATAAAATTCAGCTACATATGCGCTTCGGTTAAAGTAAAATGTTTATTAATATGCTCACTTCGTTTATTTCATTTTATACCAGGAAATCAATGACCTGTCTGACAGATTACTTGCCCATACCACAGGTAGTACAGCAAGTGGGTTCCCAACCACTCCCTGTTGATTTTTAGTGTTACATCCTCGTTATTCCTGAGTTTCCCAGGGTATTCTGATTTTGCCAATCACTCAAGGAATTCAGCAAACGTCCCAACACAAGATCCCACTACAACAAAATACTGAGACATAGCGAGGCTTTTCTGTGTATAAAAAAGCAGGCAGATGGTGGTTAGCGGGCAGATGAGTGATCATCAGGCAGGTGAGTGGTCAGTGGGCGTGTGGGTGGGTGAGCGGGTGGGTGAGAGGTCAGCTGGCATGTGGGTGGGTGAGCGGGCGGGCGAGCGTCAGTGGGTAGGTGAACGGGCGTGTGGGTGGGTGAGCGGGCGGGTGAGTGGTCAGCTGCCGTGTGGCTGAGTAAGCGGGCGGGCGAGCGTCAGTGGGTGGGTAAACGGGCGTGTGGGTGGGTGAGTGGGTGGGTGAGAGGTCAGCTGGCATGTGGGTGGACGGTCAGTGGGTGGGCGAGTGGTCACCCTCCGGCTGGGCGTGGAGTGGAGCGCGCTCCCTGCGTGCGGTACACGCGCACTCCTCCGGGGCCCCTCCCGCAGTCCGTGCCGGGGCAGCGCCAGCCTTGTCCTGGCACGGCCGGCAGCAGGCGGTGAGGCCGGTCGACCGGCACGGCTCGCACGACAGCACCAGCTGGCGGCAGGCACGCGTGCTGCACAGGCGGAATTCATCCCACGGCCGCCCGCAGTACACGCACGCTGCACGCGCAACACCACACACGTTCAAGTCACGGACACGCTCGCTACTGTCATCAGCAGTACCCCACCGAAGACAAATATCCCGCGTAGAGCCTTCAACAGACTCTTGGGGCAAGTGTTGTTAGCGAGCAGCACCTTTGAAGGCCGGCACAGCACTTGAGGGGGTGGGTGGCCAGCACCACGGGAACCTTTGTCTCCTGAGTGGCGGCGATGTTGACATATTGCACCAGGTACTCATGTAAGGCTGAGGCGACGTAGGGGAGGCCCAGGACCAGTTTAGATATTCATCCCCACTACCATCGTCATTATTGTCATGATTTCATTACACATCACAGGATCATGATGGCAACACCTTGTGACGGCCATCCAGCAGTGGATTTGCCATTACTGATGATGATTGTATGTTCACAAATAACCACCACCATCACTAATAAAACATTATTATCAGCTGTACTGCCACCACCACCCTTCACGACAATAACCATCACCACCACCTCTGCTACCACTAACACCTTCATATTCACTCCCATCACAAGCACCATCATGGCTTTTATTACCATCATCATCGTTAGAATCACCACCTTCACCGTTCACACCCGTATCACCAGCATCCCCAATGTCAGCAGCATTGCTACCAGCACCACCACTTTCATGACGATCACCGCTACCATCAACTTCACTATCACCACCATCATCATCACAACTAGCATTATCAACAGCTGCATCACCACCTTCACTGTTATTACCAGTATCGCCAACATCATCAATACCACCAACACTACCAGACAATGTGTATTTTCTATAATAACCATGTTGGTCAAGTTGAATATATTGATCTGGTTCTAGCCTTGTCATTAGTAGTAAACATGTCAGAGGTTCACTGAGATGAGCAGAAGGAGCGGGGGAGTGCGATGGAGAGAAGCCGGGCTACTCACAGGCAATGACGTCGTCGTTAGAGCTGATGGCGTATCGCTCGTCGAAAACAAACAGCTTCCCCCGGAAGAATCCCTGCGGGAAGCGCTCCAGGTAGCGGTGGACGCCACCCTGCAGCTGGCACACGTCCTGGCACACGCCCTGGCACCACAAGGACACAGACAGATCCCCCGTGGAGCCTTCAACAGACTGTAGAGGCGAGTGCTGTTAGCGAGTAGCACCGTTGAAAGTCCGCACGGCACGCGACCTGACCGTGTGCAAACTCGCCGTCGTGATAATATTCACGATCCCCATCGCACGCACACGCTCTCCCTCGGCACCATCTTCCTCACGCCGTGCGCTCTCACCGCTGTGCTCTCTGCTCCACATGCGCCGCGGCCGTGCCGCGCGGTGCCGCGGTGTTCAACGCGCCGCCCTTACCTTGGAGCGCAGGTACGCCGATCCGCGCTCGCAGCGCACGCCGCCCGTGCAGTACATGAGCACGCGCTTGCCACGGAACAGCTCCACGTTGCGGTCCACGTACTCGGGGAAGTAGCTGAACTTGCGGATGTCAGGCGCCACGCTCCCGCGGAAGCGGCCCTGCCACAGCGTCACCACCGCCACAGCAGCATTTAGATAAACAATGGGAAGCATTTATTTATCGGTGAAAGTTTCACATTTAACTGCTCAATTCCCATTTAGTGGTAATCATTCGATTAACCCCAGAGATGATAGGCCGAGGCAACCCCTCACCGGGATTTGAACTCGCAACATTCCATGTCGGGCCACCAACGGCCGTCTGACCGATGAGCAAAGTGAGAAGCGTGGCGGCGGCACCACGAGGTGCGCCGTCTCACTTACGATCTTGCTCTCGTAGAAGTTGCGGCAGTCGAGCAGCAGCGTGCCGCCGCCGCTGCTCCCCGCCGCGTTCCGTCCCAGCAGCGCCTGCACCTCCTCGTGGAACTCTTCCGGTGAGAGACGACGCCCTGCTCGACCGCACGCACGTCACGGGGGTCACGGGGGTCACCATCCAAACGACTCTCGGACGAGTCGTACGACACGCTACAGCTCGAGACTCGCGGGGTCTGCCTCAATAGTGACCCGGTAATGAGCAAACAACCTCAAGGCTGGCTGATATCCAGCCCTAATGATCGTTTTATATTCCTACACTAATTAAACCAAAGTCTAACGCAGGCTATCTTAACACAACGTACTATGAAAAAGGGCCATCGCCCAAAACGTTACCTATTATGTTTCCTTTTAAGCAGTGTTACGGAGGAATGTGTCGAGTTCCCTGCGTGAAGGGATCAGTGGACATTAAGGAGGTGGTTCTACAGACGGTCCACTTTCGTGCATCCCCCGCACCACGACAACGTAGGGGGAGGTGTGGGGGACGGCTCCACGTCAGCGGCCCACGCCCCACGCCGAAGACGCACACCGGCTGGGGGGGGGGGGGAGCCGCGTGACCTCTGACCTGCATCACGGTGGGACACGGCCTGGGGGCTGAGTCCCAGTGGCACGATCTCCTGGTGCACGGCCACGCGGAGATCCGCGAAGCAGTGAGCGCCGCCCGGGCTGCTCTGTGGCGCCAGGAAAGACCACGATCCGTTCTCACTTCGCAGGGGGCAACTTTATCTCGTTTAACTGTGCGGCTGAGGCACACGCAACGGATATTTTCAAATATCGGCATGGAAAACAGACCGCGTGGTATTCATGATTTGCAATCAGATGCGTCCGAGTTGAAATCCTGGTTGGGGGATGACTCGACCCATCATGCCTCCAGGGTCAGTACGAGGAGGAGTGCTGCTTTGTGGGAAGGCAACAGCGGTTCTCTGATATAACAAATGCCCCCTGCCATACGAATCCAGAATTTTAAGTCACTGGCTCAGCTGAGCACCACCCCATGCTTGTTTGAGCAGAGAGACGCTTTGGAATGTTTGATGCATGTCCCGAGTGGTCGAGACCTCCCCCAGGGTTGTGCTCCAGTTCACCGATGGAACAACAAAGCCTGCCCAGCTAATGTGGAGTGACGCGGTGTTGGTGTGAAGTGAGTTGTGCTGCCTCGACGTCACGAAGCGAGAGGCCGTGCCTTGAAGTCGTCCAGGGTCATGCCCCTGAGGGCCGGGTGAGCCAGCACGGCCTGCACGTAGGCCCGTGTGGCTGCGCGCACGCCGCCCACCGTCCCGTTGAGGCCCTCCGCGGCCAAGCGCACCTGCAGACAGAGCCAGCCGCTCCACTCACGCACAGCCACTCGCACGGCGGGCAGGGCACAGCCTCCCTCGACACTCTGGTTTGAGAAAGATATAAACGAGTCCTCTTTAAATTGTCATCACACTGAATGGCTTAGGACTCACAGCTGATAGAAGCTGAATTTAGTGACAAATCATAAATCATTTATTTGTTATAGGGTTGTTAGAAACGAGGCTTGGACCATCAAGTCTTTACACTTGATCATGGGTGGATGAAACCAGGACACAGGTCCAGGACCTCACTGGTGCCGGCTCAGGGCCGAGTCGGGGCCATTCGGCCACCTCCACATCGTAGCACCTTCTCTATCACACTCCACTGACCACCCAAGACGAGACAAGACGGAGCGAGGCAGGGCACGAGCTCCACGCGACAGGGGCCCGGCGGTGACAGCGGTCGAGCGGTTACCTTCCCCGTGAGCTGCAGGCGCTCGCACAGCGTCCTCTGCCAGCGGCAGAGCGCGCGGGGGGCGGCCACGTCGCAGTAGCAGTAGAAAAGGAGCACCTCGCCCTCCTCTCTGCTCGCGACACCCGGCCCACAGGTGGACAGCATCAATCACGGCGGCGGTGGCGCAGCGGTACGGAGGGCAGCGGCACTCCGCTGTGAACCCGGCGATGCGAGTTCCAATACCGCCCACGGCTAACGTTGGTGGCAAGGAGTGTCAGGACCGGTCCTACCTTGAACCACCACAATAAAGTGTGCACTTGTAGTTTATTATAACTCTGGTCTATTTGGTGCAGTGGCAGAGTGGTTAGGCGAGTATGAACCCACTGACCAGAGTACGATTCGTGGTCACGGCTAATGCTGCGAGTGAAACCTGAACCGGTCCTGTCGTGCGATATTCCCAAACAACCCTCCAACTCACTCACCCAGGGCGTGAATCCAGATTCAGGGCGGTGGTGTCTGGCAGCCACGGCACGTCCATCGTTGCATCTTCACCCCTGGCATCCTCCTCGTCTTCATCTCCCGCTCGCCTGCCGCCCTCTCCTGGTGCCCGAGCGCTCGCACTGTCGTGGGGAGCTCCCGGGCTGAGCCGCCACTCCAGCTGGAGGGCATCGCCCCGGGCAGCAGCAGCGGCGGCGTCGTCGGCGTGGTGCGTCCCCACGTGGCGATGGACCTCCCCGCGCTGCACGAACGTCTGTCCGCAGCAGCGCCACCCTGCTCCAGCCGGGGGCCCGGGCACGCGCAGCGTCTCCACGTAGAGGCCGAACGCCTGCGCAGACACGGGCAGCGCCATCAACACTCACTCACACAAAGAGCCCCCCGTGTAGCCTTAGCAGACTCTAGGGGCAAGTGCTGTTAGTGAGCACCTATAAAGGCCGGCATGGCACACGAGGGGGTGGGCGGACAGCACCACGCCCGGCCGCCTTTGTCTCCCTAAGTGGAGATGTTTACACGCGTGTCTCCGCGTGGTTAAGGAATTCACGTATTGCGAGGATGGTTTTATCGGGTTGGTCCGCGTGTTGAGACATTTCTTCTCGCAAGAGACAACACCGAGATACGCAGACACCGAGACATTCAGCCACAGAAACACACAGAAACACACACGCAGACACAAGACGCACCCCGACACGAGAACACACGCACACCGACACACTCAGCAGAGACATACACACACAGAGACACTCAGCACAGACACACACAGAGACACACTCAGCACAGACACACACAGAGAGACACTGACACACTCAGCACAGACACGTACACAGAGAGACACTGAGACACTCAGTACAGACACAGACAAGCACACAAAGACACTCAGCACAGAGACACACACAGAGACACACTCAGTACAGACACAGATACACACAGAGACACACTGACACACTCAGCAGAGAGACATACACACACAGAGACACACTGACCCACTCAGCAGACAGACACACACAGAGACACACTCAGCAGACACAGACACACACACAGAGACACACACAGAGACACACTCAGCACAGACACAGACACACACAGAGACACACTGACCCACTCAGCAGACACAGACACACAGAGACACACTGACCCACTCAGCAGACACAGACACAGATACACACTGACACACTCAGCAGACACAGACACACACAGAGACACACTCAGCAGACACAGACACACACAGAGACACACTCAGCAGACACAGACACACACAGAGACACACTCAGCAGACACAGACACACACACAGACACACACTCAGCACAGACACACACAGAGACACACACCGATACACTCAGCAGAGACACAGACACACACAGAGACACTCTGACACACTCAGCACAGAGACAGACACGCACAGACACACTGACCCACTCAGCAGGCACAGACACACACAGAGACACACTCAGCACAGACACAGACACACACAGAGACACACTGACACACACCAGCAGACACACTCACAGAGACACACTCAGCACAGACACAGACACACACAGAGACACTCAGCACAGAGACAGACACGCACAGACACATACAGACACACACACACACAGACACACACAGAGACACAGCACACACACAGACACACTGACACAGAGACACACACAGACACACACACCAGTAGACACAGAGACACATTGACACACACAGACACAGAGAAACACACTCAGCAGACACACTGACACATAGACACACACTCACAGACACACACACACAGAGACACAGACAGACACACCAGTAGACACACACACAGAGACAGACTCACAGAGACACACACACAGAGACACAGACAGACACACCAGTAGACACACACAGAGACAGACTCACAGAGACGCACACACAGAGACACAGACACACCAGTAGACACACACAGAGACAGACTCACAGAGACGCACACACAGAGACACAGACACACCAGTAGACACACACACAGAGACAGACTCACAGAGACACACACACAGAGACACAGACAGACACACCAGTAGACACACACAGAGACAGACTCACAGAGACGCACACACAGAGACACAGACACACCAGTAGACACACACACAGAGACAGACTCACAGAGACACACACACAGAGACACAGACAGACACACCAGTAGACACACACAGAGACAGACTCACAGAGACGCGGCGTCTCTCACCGTCCGCCGCGCGCGTCTCCGATCGCTCCTCAGCTCCGCGGCGGCGCCCGGGTCCATGGCGAGCGGGGACCGGCTCCAGTCGAGGTGATCACGACTCACTCACAGGGTTCCAGTGAAGGCCGCAGGGCCCTGGGAAGGCCGCAGGGCCCTGGGAAGGCCGCAGGGCCCTGGGAAGGCCGCAGGGCCCTGGGAAGGCCGCAGGGCCCTGGGAAGGCCGCAGGGCCCTGGGAAGGCCGCAGGGCCCTGGGAAGGCCGCAGGGCCCTGGGAAGGCCGCAGGGCCCTGGGAAGGCCGCAGGGCCCTGGGAAGGCCGCAGGGCCCTGGGAAGGCCGCAGGGCCCTGGGAAGGCCGCAGGGCCCTGGTCGCGAGTGAAGTTGACCCCTGGGGGCCGCGTGCGTCGCGCCTCGTCGATGCCGCCCCGCGCCACGGCAGCAGCTTCGTCTCTGTGGAAGCCCCGGGTCGTTGTTGCTGCTGCTGTAGTTGCTGTTGTTGTTGCTGCTGCTGTAGTTGTTGTTGTTGCTGCTCTAGTCTATGTTGTTGTTGTTCAAGGAGTCGATGTTCGTGTCGTGGACTTCTCAGCGGCGGTGCCCCACTGCGGGTTACAGTGTGTGGTGGGGGGGGCCCCGGCATCTGAATCGACCCGCACACAGACAAAGCTCCCCGTGTAGCCTCTACACACTGCAGGGGCAAGTGCCGCGTTAGCGAGCTGCACCGATGAAGGCCGGCACTGTGGCACACGAGGGGGCTGGGTTGCCAGCCCCACGCACGGCCGCCTTTGTCTCCCTAGCGGCTATTTAAAATGCACACCGCACCAGGTACTCGTTTGAGGCGGAGCCGACTTAGGGGTGGCCCAGGACCGGTTCAGACAATCGTCACCGCTGGTGGTGGTGGCCGTGAGCGGGATTCGAGCTCGGGTCACCGGGTTCGCATTGCGGTGCGCTAATCGCTGCGCCACCGCTCCCCGCACGAAGTCCCGCAGCAGCAGCACACACAGAGAGAGAGAGCTCCATCGGGGAGAGGCGTGCACGAGGAGGAGGCTGATGAGAGGCGTGCACGAGGAGGAGGAGGAGGCTGATGAGAGGCGTGCACGAGGAGGAGGAGGAGGCTGATGAGAGGCGTGCACGAGGAGGAGGAGGCTGATGAGAGGCGTGGAGGAGGAGGTTGATGAGAGGCGTGCACGAGGAGGAGGCTGATGAGAGGCGTGCACGAGGAGGAGGTTGATGAGAGGCGTGCACGAGGAGGAGGTTGGTGAGAGTCGTGCACGAGGAGGAGGAGGCTGATGAGAGGCGTGCACGAGGAGGAGGAGGCTGATGAGAGGCGTGGAGGAGGAGGTTGATGAGAGGCGTGCACGAGGAGGAGGCTGATGAGAGGCGTGGAGGAGGAGGTTGATGAGAGGCGTGCACGAGGAGGAGGTTGATGAGAGGCGTGCACGAGGAGGAGGATGCTGGTGAGAGGCGTGCACGAGGAGGAGGAGGCTGATGAGGTTTCTGCCTGGGCACGGAGCGGGGAGGCCTTCATCATCCAGCAGTGGATCGGCACCGAGCTTTCCCGGTGTGATTGAAGCAACGCCGACACGCGGCTCACGGGCTCCCGAACGACGCCGTGAAGTGAATGCTCAATCAAGCGAACTGAGGTCCACACTGAACACCACCGTCGCTGTCGACCCCTCATCAGTGCCCTACCTTATCACAGACCAATTCAGACCGTATTGGTCACCCCCCGTGGCCCTTATCAATCACAACGTTCATCTTACAAAGTCCCATCACAAGGGAGAAACACAAATAGATTTTTAAAAACGTGTCCGTATTGAAACGGCTGTACGCCGCATGGACCTCAAAGTCCCTGTACAAGAGTGCGGGGTGACCCGTGGGGGTCGACAGCGACGATGACACCACCACCACGTGGACCACCACCACCACGTGGAGCATTGCGGGGCCCGGCTGGTGGTGGCATCTGTGGCAACTGCTGCAGTGTCGGTCTCAGACTGAACTCGTGAAGCAGAACCCCGATACATGCGTTAAGGCCCAGGTGGGCAGAACAATTGTAATTAAAATGTTCACGAAAGTAATCATTTAAATCAGAATGTCCAATATGGTAAATAACGTTCATTTAACCTTAACTATTAACTATACCGCATCATTTCCCCCCTCGTCACCCGTGGTGTGATGGCCCATGACTGCACTGCCCTCTCTCGGTCCCCACGAGGGACTTCATCTTTATTCGGGGTGAGCGTGGATCACAGAATAAAGTCTGCAACTCACAATGTGTCCGTCCACCTTCTTCCTCGACAGGGGAGACATCCCCATGTCGTGCTTTGCTGCGGTGTATGATGCACCGACATCGGCTTCCCCCACGCGCGCTGGGATGGCGACGTGGCGTGCCGTCTCGCCACTCAGCCCCCCGGGGGGCCGCGTGGAGCCACGGGGATGACTCCGACGACGCAAACCGACGTGGCCCGAGTTTTAAAACGGGGTGCCCGTGGGAGCGCCCATTGAGACGCAAGGCTGCAACTATTGTACAGCGCAAGACATTTCCCCCTCCACGTTTGAAAACATGCGTTTAGACTATTACGATTATTTTGCTGCTATAAATGTCCAAATGAAAAGCCACTTTGTTTAGCCATCATTTGTGGCCAGGTCGCTTTGCACGATAACTTGATGCCCCAGGGGCATGTCTGGTGGGATGTGGATGGTTGAGTGTTGTACTTGTTTGTGTTTGGGCCATTTGTTTACCTTTCTTGTACCTCACACTCCTATCGTGTTTTGTACTGTTTGTTGTCGTGACGTTCTTACCCGCCCTGACTGGACAGCTGTGAAAAATAGCTTTATAGCTCATCGGATTCCTTCGGTATAAATATTCAGATTCTGACATTTACACATCCCACATTTTCCAAACTGGCCGATGAAAGTGAGAAGGTCGCACGGGACCCCAGAGTTCACACGGTCCAATGCGAGTGGAAGAACAGCTCAGGAGCTCCATCATTGCCTCACTGCCATCCAGAGGTCGACGGCTTCGGTGACGGCCCCTCGATGTGCTCCCTTCGCCTCCACGTGGCGCCGGCACCGCGTGCGCGCAGCGTCACCCCGGAAGCCTCCGAGCTGGCACCGCCCCCAGGGAGAAGCTCCGCCCCCAGGGAGAAGCACCGCCCCCAGGGAGTAGCAGAAGCTCCGCCCCCAGGGAGAAGCACCGCCCCCAGAGAGAAGCACCGCCCCCAGAGAGAAGCTCCGCCCCTAGGGAGAAGCACCGCCCCCAGGGAGAAGCACCGCCCCCAGAGAGAAGCTCCGCCCCCAGGGAGAAGCTCCGCCCCCAGGGAGAAGCACCGCCCCCAGGGAGAAGCACCGCCCCCAGGGAGAAGCTCCGCCCCCAGGGAGAAGCACCGCCCCCAGGGAGAAGCTCCGCCCCCAGGGAGAAGCACCGCCCCCAGGGAGAAGCACCGCCCCCAGAGAGAAGCTCCGCCCCCAGGGAGAAGCACCGCCCCCAGGGAGAAGCACCGCCCCCAGAGAGAAGCTCCGCCCCCAGGGAGAAGCTCCGCCCCCAGGGAGAAGCTCCGCCCCCAGAGAGAAGCTCCGCCCCCAGAGAGAAGCTCCGCCCCCAGGGAGAAGCACCTCCCCCAGGGAGAAGCTCCGCCCCCAGAGAGAAGCTCCGCCCCCAGGGAGAAGCACCGCCCCCAGGGAGAAGCTCCGCCCCCAGAGAGAAGCACCGCCCCCAGGGAGAAGCACCGCCCCCAGGGAGAAGCTCCGCCCCCAGGGAGAAGCTCCGCCCCCAGGGAGAAGCTCCGCCCCCAGGGGGAAGCACCGCCCCCAGGGAGAAGCTCCGCCCCCAGGGAGAAGCACCGCCCCCAGGGAGAAGCACCGCCCCCAGAGAGAAGCTCCGCCCCCAGGGAGAAGCACCGCCCCCAGGGAGAAGCACCGCCCCCAGGGAGAAGCTCCTCCTCCTACCCGCGCGCGTTTCCGTTTGATCCTCAACCTGGAAACAGTCGCGCGGTCGTTCCCCATTGACCCGGAAGCGATTCCGGCGATTTCCGTCTGACCCGGAACTTGTGAAGGTTCCCCTCGCCGTGGTGTCCGCGCGCGTTTCCCCTCCAGCTCCCTCGCTCGCTCCTCTCTCTCATTCACTCTCTATCATTCCTCTCTCTCATTCACTCTCTCTCTCATTCACTCTCCTCTCATTCACTTTCCTCTCATTCACTCTCCTCTCATTCACTCTCTCATTCACTCTCCCTTCTCTCATTCACTCTCCCCTCTCTCATTCACTCTCTCTCATTCACTCATTCCTCTCGCTCATTCACTCTCTCTCATTCACTCTCCTCTCATTCACTCTCTCATTCACTCTCCCTTCTCTCATTCACTCTCCCCTCTCTCATTCACTCTCCCTCATTCACTCATTCCTCTCGCTCATTCACTCTCTCTCATTCACTCTCGCTCATTCACTCTCCCCTCGCTCGCTCCTCTCATTCACTCTCACCTCCAGCTCCACCCCCGGCAGCAACTCACATCGCTCACTCTCACGGTCTCACCTCCAACTCGTTCCCCGTCTCTCCGCTCCCGCCGCTCCCGCCGGGGGCGTCCTGTGCACAGCCGCCTCGCCGCCTCCCCTCCCGAAGCCGCCGCCAAGATGTCTCGCAGGCGCAAGATCGACGACGACGATGACGACGGTAGCGTCCAGGGGCGCGGGGCGCGGGGCGCGGGACAGGGGCCGGCGGGGTGAAGTGTTAACTGCTCGAGGAGGTGGAGAAGAAGTGAAAGTTCACTCGTTCAGAGAGAGGAGTGAACGTTCATTCATTCAGAGGGCTGGGGTTTAACTCATTCAGAGGGATCGAGGAGCATGACTACGTGTGTATGTGTGATTAGTTTGTGTATATCTTTGTGTATACGTGTGCGAATGTGTGATGTATGTCTGACGTACGTCTGTGTGTGCAGGAGCGAGCCAGCACAAGCGGAGACGCACCTCCGAGCCCATGAAGATCGAGGACCGCCTCGAGTCGCTCATCTGCCGCGTCGGGGAGAAGGTGCAGCACCCTCAGACTGACCCCCTCAGACTGACCTCTCAGACTGACCCCTCAGACTGACCCCCTCAGACTGACCCCCTCAGACTGACCCCCTCAGACTGACCCCCTCAGACTGACCCCTCAGACTGACCCCCTCAGACTGACCCCCTCAGACTGACCCCCTCAGACTGACCCCTCAGACTGACCCCTCAGACTTACCCCTCAGACTTACCCCTCAGACTGACCCCCTCAGACTGACCCCCTCAGACTGACCCCCTCAGACTGACCCCCTCAGACTGACCCCTCAGACTGACCCCCTCAGACTGACCCCCTCAGACTGACCCCTCAGACTGACCCCCTCAGACTGACCCCTCGGACTGACTCCCTCAGACTGACTCCCTCAGACTGACCCCTCAGACTGACCCCCTCAGACTGACCCCCTCAGACTGACCCCCTCAGACTGACCCCCTCAGACTGACCCCCTCAGACTGACCCCCTCAGACTGACCCCCTCAGACTGACCCCCTCAGACTGACCCCCTCAGACTGACCCCCTCAGACTGGGCCCCTCAGACTGGGCCCCCTGTCCCTCATGAGCTGCTCCACTCCACCCTTCCACTCCACCACACTGTCTGTTCAACGTGACAGCTGTGTTGTTCACATGAAGTGTGTTGATGTGAGCATCACGGCTCTGTTTGCAGAGCACCTCCTCTCTGGAGAGCAACCTGGAGGGCCTCGCGGGCGTGCTGGAGGCCGACCTGCCCAACTACAAGAGCAAAATCCTGCGCATCCTCACCGCTGTGTAAGGCCAACCCACGCCAACCCACGCCAACCACCGCCAACCACCGCCAACCACCGCCAACCACCGCCAACCCACGCCAACCACTCCACACAGCGCCCACCACGACAAGGCGGATGGCGGTGGCTTCCTCTCTCTTCCTATTCTACGTGGGGGTTCACCGCCTCTCCACTTCACTCTACACTTTCACCAGCGGCCAGTGATTTTAAATGGCAAACGAAGGAGAATTCCTACTGAATGTGATCTGTGCAACTCGATATAGATTCCAACTTTTTTTATTGTCTCTGGTCGGTGAAAAACAGAGTGAACGCTTTGGTTAAAATAATATCTACAGCAAATGTGACGTGCATTATTGCGATATCGGAAATTAAACTCAACTGTGAGGTTTCACGTGATAGATATGTAAACACTACAGCAGCTATCAGACTGATCAGGTCATACCGTGATCGTGATTCGCCGTGTGGCTGTGCAGGGCTGCGAGTGATTGTGTGCGTGTACGAGTTTGGGTATCGATGTGTGCACGTGTACACGCGTGCGCGCACGTGCAGAGCTCGCCTGCTGCCAGAGAAGCTGACCATCTACACCACCCTGTCGGGCCTCCTCAACGCTCGCAACTACAACTTTGGCGGGGAGCTGGTTGAGAGCCTGATGCGGCAGCTGAAGGAGGCGCTGAAGGGAAACTTCTACACGGATTCTCTCTACATCGTGAGTGCCGGGCGCCTCTGATGCGGGGTCACTTCCTTGGTTCGGAGCCCTTTGGCTCGTCTTTCCGCTGTGCAATTGAGTGAGTCACCATTTACAACAACTTCAATATGCCGATGGCATTCTCAGCTTTGTTGCTGTACCATGTGTGGTGACAGTAAGAGCTGCGTTATGGGTTGTGGTCTCCATGATCTTAGATAAATCACCCTGGTGTGTGATACGTGCGCTATTCATATCCTAACATTGCCTGCCATGTCATCATCGTGGTGATAGAAGATAAGTTAATGCTCGAGTGTTTGAGGCGAGATGGATTAACGAAACAAATGTGAGAATACTTTTGAACACAAGGGCATGCAGCAGGACCACAGGAGGCTCACATCATGCATGACTCATCTGAACATGGCTAACCTATATTTTATTTATTGTATTTGTTTCCCTACTCCTTTGTGGCAGCAATTAACTGGTGATGATACGTCATCCCTGGGTCATCAGTTTTATTTTAATACATCGATCATTTTATGAATTATGTCTGGGAATAAGCTTAGCCCATCATTCCCCTGGGGATATAAGTTTGCAGTGTTTTTCTAGTGACTAGACTGGCCCTCACCATGGAAATGTGGAATTTCTGCCATTGGCTCAGGGCTGCCAACAGTGGTGAACATCCCAATGCTTGTTTGAGCAGATAGAAAAAGTTTTACGTCTTGTGTCACAGTATGTGGAGAGATCTCAAGGCACAAACATATTCATGTTCTTTACAATTCCACGTAGATACAAGTCCACTCATAGTTGCGTGTTTTAAAGGGATAGGCGTCTAAAAAATAAACAGCTCTTGATAGTTTAGAATGTAATGTAGCCTGAAAGGATACATATCTAGGTTGTGTGCCCGTGCCCTGTCTGACACGAGTGTAAAGCTTTGTTAAAATCGCAGCTGGCAGCATTATAGTGATGTCACTGCAACAGCATTTCCATACGAGTGAATACAATGCAACTGCAGCGATGTCACTTTCGCATTGTTGACGGTGATTTTAAAAGGTCGTTCCTACTTAACGAAAGCCTCACACTACTGTTGCACAGCCTATCTGCGTCTTCACGGGAGAAGTGTTATTGGTGTTTGTGTCGCGTCATCCTCGAAGAGAGCCGCGTGGACGCTGCAGCTGCTGCTGCTGTCGTTCTGCAGGGAGAGTCAATGTTGTCGTTCTGCAGGGAGAGTCAATGTTGTCGTTCTGCAGGGAGAGTCAATGTTGTCGTTCTGCAGGGAGAGTCAATGTTGTCGTTCTGCAGGGAGAGTCAATGTTGTCGTTCTGCAGGGAGAGTCAATGTTGTCGTTCTGCAGGGAGAGTCAATGTTGTCGTTCTGCAGGGAGAGTCAATGTTGTCGTTCTGCAGGGAGAGTCAAAGTTGTCGTTCTGCAGGGAGAGTCAATGTTGTCGTTCTGCAGGGAGAGTCAATGTTGTCGTTCTGCAGGGAGAGTCAAAGTTGTCGTTCTGCAGGGAGAGTCAATGTTGTCGTTCTGCAGGGAGAGTCAATGTTGTCGTTCTGCAGGGAGAGTCAATGTTGTCGTTCTGCAGGGAGAGTCAAAGTTGTCGTTCTGCAGGGAGAGTCAATGTTGTCGTTCTGCAGGGAGAGTCAATGTTGTCGTTCTGCAGGGAGAGTCAATGTTGTCGTTCTGCAGGGAGAGTCAAAGTTGTCGTTCTGCAGGGAGAGTCAATGTTGTCGTTCTGCAGGGAGAGTCAATGTTGTCGTTCTGCAGGGAGAGTCAATGTTGTCGTTCTGCAGGGAGAGTCAATGTTGTCGTTCTGCAGGGAGAGTCAATGTTGTCGTTCTGCAGGGAGAGTCAATGTTGTCGTTCTGCAGGGAGAGTCAATGTTGTCGTTCTGCAGGGAGAGTCAATGTTGTCGTTCTGCAGGGAGAGTCAAAGTTGTCGTTCTGCAGGGAGAGTCAATGTTGTCGTTCTGCAGGGAGAGTCAATGTTGTCGTTCTGCAGGGAGAGTCAAAGTTGTCGTTCTGCAGGGAGAGTCAATGTTGTCGTTCTGCAGGGAGAGTCAATGTTGTCGTTCTGCAGGGAGAGTCAATGTTGTCGTTCTGCAGGGAGAGTCAAAGTTGTCGTTCTGCAGGGAGAGTCAATGTTGTCGTTCTGCAGGGAGAGTCAATGTTGTCGTTCTGCAGGGAGAGTCAATGTTGTCGTTCTGCAGGGAGAGTCAAAGTTGTCGTTCTGCAGGGAGAGTCAATGTTGTCGTTCTGCAGGGAGAGTCAATGTTGTCGTTCTGCAGGGAGAGTCAATGTTGTCGTTCTGCAGGGAGAGTCAAAGTTGTCGTTCTGCAGGGAGAGTCAAAGCTGTCGTTCTGCAGGGAGAGTCAAAGCTGTCGTTCTGCAGGGAGAGTCAATGTTGTCGTTCTGCAGGGAGAGTCAATGTTGTCGTTCTGCAGGGAGAGTCAATGTTGTCGTTCTGCAGGGAGAGTCAAAGCTGTCGTTCTGCAGGGAGAGTCAAAGCTGTCGTTCTGCAGGGAGAGTCA